TGGACCCGTTTTATTTTGAAAACTCTAGGGATGTGTTTCAATCTGAAAACTCTGGGCTTGTGTTTTATTTTGAAAACTCGGGTTGTGTTTTAGTTTGAAAATTCTGCGGTTGTGTTTTATTCTGAAAACTCTGGCGTTGTGTTTTATTCTGAAAACTCTGGGGTTGTGTTTTATTCTGAAAACTCTGGGGTTGTGTTTTATTCTGAAAACTCTGGGGTTGTGTTTTATTCTGAAAACTCTGGGGTTGTGTTGTAGTCTGGACGGACAGAAACTGAGGCCTTTGGAAACGATGACATCACACCCACTGCTGTTCCTCATTTGTAGTATTTTGTGCAACTAATAAACTGCAGAATAGACGATCTACTTCCTGTTTACACCGGCTCGCACATGCCCAGTGTAGGTGAATGGTCGTGTGTGTGTGTGTGTGTGTGTGTTCGTGTTCAGCTGTGATAGTGATGAAAACATATCGGTGTGGACGCAGCCTCAGATCACTGATAGACACGATGCGTTTGTTTGAACTGTGCATAAAAAAGATGGAGATAACGAGATAATTGTCAGGATAACTCGCCGTTTAAGAACATCGATGGTTTCACTTCTCCTGTTGTAAAATGTTCTGAAAGCGAGTAATTAATATAAAACTGTAAAACACTCCGACAGTGAATTATTAATGTTAATTAACCAAGTTGTTTCTTTTCTAAAGTGTCACATCTTCAGGAGGAGCAAACGACGAACCAAACAGGAGGTACCGCTTCTTCTTCTTCTTCTTCTTCTTTTTACTAAACCGCATCATGTTTTCATCCATCCAACCAGCAGACAAACAAACCTTCCTCCTCACATTCCTCATCATCATTCACCACATTAGTGTAGTTCTCACGTCTGGGCCATCGTGATCGAGTGACACCGCTCGGTCGAGAACCTTAAAGAGTTTCAGTCTGGCGGCGACCAGAGAAGCGTTCTGCCGACCTGATGAGGAAGTGATGGACGGAGACACTGGGTTGTTTTCACCTCCAGTGTCTCGACAGTAGAAGCAGGAATGAATGAATGAGTGAGGGTGAGGAGGAGATGATGAAACCTGCATCAGTAAAGATCTCTCTCTCTCTCTCTCTCTCTCTCTCTCTCCACATCATCTGGTTAATGTCGGATGTTCTCACGGGTTTTTTGTTTCGGAGCGTTCCGTTAATTCACTCGTTTCCACGCCGCAGAGCAACGTGTGACTAATGCCTGAAGGCGCAGTGTCACAGATTCCCTCGCGTGTCCGAGCTCAAACACAGACACACGTTTCCTCCATGATGCCGATGTGGTGCCGCGGCGGGCGGCGTGGTCGGATCCTGTCGGACTCGGTACAGATGCTGGGGGAGTGACGTGTTGATGTGGTCTGAGAGATTTCATATGTGAAAGTAAAAGACTGTTATTGTCGGGCTCAAACACGTGGAAATATACGGTCGAACTAGATCATTAAACACGAGGTGAATAACGTATTTATCCACTTTTAGACGACAGTGAGACGTGAAACCACCATGTGGACATTTTCAAAATGTCCAAATCTGAAGGGAAAAAGAGACGAGACACAGAAACACTCAGTCATATCACAGTAAATATCAGCTGGTCAGAGGTGGACAGACCTCATTTAAATATTTAAATACCACAGGAGGGTGTTGAGTCAAAAACTCAGTGCAGTTAAAGTGGTGGAGTACCTGGTTTTAAAAAATAGGAGCCTTTGTCGTGTGGTCGTGGTAAACTCAGGAAGCATTCAAACTAAATGAATCTTTATTTATAAACCTTCAAACACAGACCTCAGATCAGACCGGGGTCTGTGAAGAACCTCCTGCCTCATCTTCATCAAACGTCTCCATCGTTAGGACGGGTTCAAACATGGCTGACAGTGTGACTGGTTTTTCTCCTGTGATCAACACTGTGTATGGTCCGTCACATCTTTCAAAATAAAATAAAATACATTCCCTTGACTAAAAGCTCTGCTTCAAAGTAAGAGTACTTCATAGAAATGTAGTCAAAGTCAAAAATAATACTCAGTACAAGTACAGATACTCCATAGACAGTACAGTACTCAGGTAAATGTACTTGGTTGCTGTTGCCTCATAAATGTTTCTCCTCGTGTCTTTAACACAAACATCAGGGTTGATTTTTCCTCTAAAAGTTAAACTGGCTTCAGTCATGTGACTCAGCTGCAGCTGTAAAGAGAAGCATCATCATTTATTCATGGTATAGATTCAACATGTCGGTGTGTGTAGCTGATGCCGCTGGGAGCAGACTTACATCCTGTTGACAACAGTTGAAGTGGAGCTTTGTTCTGACTCCACGTCGTTGGAGGAGTAACATCTGTCTGAGGAACACCTGCAGGGAGGTGGGAGTTGAGGCCGAGTCACGGGGCGGCGCTCCTGGAAATCGTTGGGATTCAGTTCTTTGTTCAAGGACTCTTGAGCGGAGAACTCGGGGTCGCAGTGTTAAATCATTATTACAGGGTCGCTTGTAAAACCACAGGCTCACACTGCTCCCAGCTGATGGTGGAGTCACTGCTGGAATCACTAATTCATTTCAACTGAGAGACACAGAGAGAGAAACATTCATTTAAACTATAAAAACATCTTTCGACTTCCTCACTTTGTCTTTTTTAAACTGGTTCTCAGAGGATGATGATGATGATGATTTGTTTTCTCTGATCTTCCTCCGACCGGCAGTTTTCACTCTTCCACAAAACGTCTCGGCTTCATGACGTTGATCTTTGCGTTTGAGTTTAATCAGGTGGTTTGTCAGGAGAGTGACTCTGTGACGACACGACTGATGAATGAAGAAGAGAGATCCGGATCTTACAGTTTCTCCTCAGCTAAGGAAACCTTGGAAGACATTCTGTTCAACTGTGAGGGCCGAGCTCACGTAGAGCCGCCCCAGGATTTATCATTAAAACAACACAAACACAGAGTAAGACTCAAATTCAAACAAACATACAAGATGAAAGATGTCTTTAATGTATGTTGATGCTCTGGTGTTGATGCAGCAGAGATAGGAATTACAAACATAACCGTCTCCTCAGCGAGCGAGTGAACGATCTGAACACAGCTGAAACCTTTTTAACCGAGATCAATGATCATAAACACGTTTCTGTGATTTGAAGTGAAACTCTGTTCCAGCTGCTGATGTGGAGTTAAAGTCTGTTCTTCTTCCACCAGCTCGTTATCTCATCTGCATCTTCCTCTGTCCTCGCTCTGATTCACATTAGCTCATGTTTGATTTACTCTCTCCAGGCGCTCCCTCTATCATCCTCTCTCTCTGTCACACACACACCACTCACACTCACACACACACACACTCACACTCACACACACACACACTCACACACACTCACACACACACACTCACACACACACTTCATCTTATTTACTTTCTCCACACACTCCAATTACTGTTTATCTCTGTCACTTATCACCACTCATCTGTGTCTTTCCACTTATTTCTTGCTTTTTTCTCCCTCCCCTCTCTCTCCTCCCTCTCCTCCCTCTCTCCTCCCTCTCTCTCCTCCCTCTCTCCTCCCTCCCTCTCCTCCCTCTCTCCTCCCTCCCTCTCCTCCCTCTCCTCCCTCTCTCTCCTCTCTCTCCTCCCTCTCCTCCCTCTCCTCTCTCTCCTCCCTCTCCTCCCTCCCTCTCCTCCCTCTCCTCTCTCTCTCTCCCTCTCCTCCCTCCCTCTCCTCTCCGCTCTCCTCACTCTCCTCCCTCCCTCTCCTCGCCTCTATCTCTCTCCTCTCCTCTCCCTCTCCTCCCTCTCCTCCCTCCCTCTCCTCCCTCTCTCTCTCTCCTCTCTCCTCCCTCTCTCTCCTCCCTCTCTCTCCTCCCTCCCTCTCCTCTCTCTCCTCCCTCTCTCTCTCCTCTCTCCTCCCTCTCTCTCTCTCCTCTCTCTCCTCCCTCCCTCTCCTCCCTCTCTCCTCCCTCTCCTCCCTCCCTCCTCCCTCTCTCTCCTCCCTCCCTCTCTCCTCTCTCTCTCTCCTCCCTCTCCTCCCTCCCTCTCTCCTCCCTCTCTCTCCTCCCTCTCCACCCTCTCCTCCCTCTCCTCCCTCTCCTCCCTCTGTCTGTTGATTGGTTTGTAAATAGGGTCGTTAGCAGCTGTGACGGTGCGGCTGGTGTTTGATTGGCCTGTTGAGTCGTCATGACACAGTGACCTGCTGTAGCAGGAAGTGCCACAGAGGAGGTCAGGGAGACGTTGGCAGGTGTTTGTCTGTGGAGAAATAATTTGGCAGCGCGATATCATCATAACCTGCAAGATCCACTCACCTGACTTTACAGGTGTGTGGTGGATTTCGGATGTTAGACGTGGTGATCTGGAGATTTCAGTTATGTGTTGATTATGTATCAAGTCGTCTCTAATCTGGAATTCAACCTGTGAACATCAGACTTCTCTAATGACAATCTGAAACATGCAAAGGTCCAAATTTCATTCTCCATTTATTCATTATTCATTAATATCTCCATCCCGTCGTTCACCTCATCACCTCTCACACCAGAGGGAAACATGTCACCTGCAGGTGAGCCGCCGGTCCTCGTCACAGCTGGGGAGCAACTGAAGGTGTCGTAGGGCCCAAAGACCGACTGAAGGAAACATCATGGCCTCTGACATTTGTTTTTGTTGCTTGGTTCAGCTTTAACAGTAGTGCTCGTCACTGACTGAAGAAGAAGAGATTCACTGGGTGTTTGTGAGACAGATTATTTGGACGGGGAGCAGTTGAGCTTGTCAGCTGTGCGAGCCGCTCTGGCAGGTAATCAACCTGAGTTGGAGCTTGTTTTCTCTTCCTTGAAAATGATTGGGGCTGGTAACGCGGTGAGAGTGACCGTCCACCGAGGCCACGGCACAAAGTGTCTCACCTCAGATTAACCACCAAACTCTCCTCCCATCATCACGCTCTCTGCTCCTTTTTACTTCCTCCTGACCTCGCTGCTCAATGGCCTCTTACTAATCCTGTGTGTGTGTGTGTGTGTGTGTGTGTGTGTGTGTAGGAGGAGGTGGAGGCAGAGAACAGAAGGAACACAAGGACCAAACTGACGGCAAAGCTGACGGCACACCAGGAGGAGGTGACAGCGCGCGGACACACACATTAACATTACACATCAGTTTACAGCTGAACGCAGCAAAACAACAACATCTGAAGCTGAAGTCCTTTTCATTTTCAACATTAACTGCTCAGATGTAAAGTTTCTAAAATCATCTTTATTATAGATTTTTGCAAAAATGTGGGAGAAAATTTAGATTCCGATTTTTCACAATCAGAAGTTTAGACAAGTGGTTCCCAACCTGCAGGCCGGGGCCCTCCGGGGGGCCGCAGAGGCGCTGCAAGTGGGCCGACAAATCATATTCAAAAGTAAATAGATAAATAATAAAAATATAAATGTTTTAAAACAAACTTCTTCTTGTTTCACTGTGATGATCCAATGATAAGAACAGGTTCTTCTTCTCCTTCAGATCATCAGTTCAAACTTCACGTCTCTGTAGATTCACTGTGGAAATCTTCAAATCTCAAACTGAAGCAGAGTCTCTGTTTTTAATCTAAAATCTGTCTTCAGTAAAATATTTATGTTTTTATTAATAATTTCTTTTATTCATTTACATTAAAAAATGAGTTTATTATTTATATTTGAAATGAATGAATAAAAACTTTCCTCCTCAGCGTCACAGTAACTGTAAACAGAGATGTGGCCCAGCAGGACGTTGGTGCTGCGCTGTCAGCTCTATATATACACTGCACCTGCTGACAGACTAACCACGGGTCACTGTTCTGTGTCACCAGATCTCCTCCCCGCCGGGTCGCCACGACTCCCGCAGCAGGAAGGAGGGAACGCTGCAGAAGATCGGTGACTTCCTGCAGAGCTCGCCAACGCTGCTCGGCACAAAAGGTCAGTGTGTCAGTGTGCGAGTCTTTACTGTGGCAGAGACGAAACCTTCATCGTGTTCGCTCAGTCACACGGTTCAGAGAGGGAGGAGCCTGGAAGAGAGGAAGCTCAATATGACGAAGCAGCAAAATAAGAGCATAAATATCTTCCTGATAGAAACTAGAATCACCTGCTCGTGGTCGTATCCCTCCGCCACTCGGACTACTTTCAGGTACATCCCTGTTTGTCCAGAGTCAGAGAAAATATGAATCTGTGACGCCTTGAGTAACGGCCATCAGCAGCTTTTGAGGATCAATAACAACCTAAAGTCTTTATTTAAGACGACCAACGATCAGACTGATCAATGAGCAACATGAAGACTTCTCTCTGTGAGTCCGGCCCCAGGAGCCAATCACATGGCTCGGGCGTGCTGTCTTCTGCCGCCATCTGATCCTCCCTCCATCTCTCTGCCGCTCGCCCCCCCCTCCCTCTCCCCTTCCCTCGTCTTTTATCTTCATTATTTTACTCCCATCACCTCACACTCCTCCTCTCCTCCATCCCTCTTTCCTTCCCTCCCTCCACCTCCTGATTCCTCCTCCTCTCACAGCAGATGGATAAATGTCCTATTTTATATTTTACAGTCAGAGCGGCGGCCATTTTGTCCTCAGGTAGTTTGTCCGTCTCATTCTGGTGGACACGATGTCTTAGTGACACCTCGATGGAGCTTCTTTAAATGTGGCCGAAACATTCACCGCGACTCAGGGATGAACTGATGAGATTTTGGTGGCTAAAGGTCAAAGGTCGAGGTCACAGTGACCTCACAATATGTCATTTCTGGCCTTGTGAATGTGATATCTCAAACTCCTCGAGGGAATCTCTTTGAATTTGGCGGAAACATTCACTTGGACTCAAGGATAAAAAGTTTAGAGTCTGAAGGTCAAAGGTCAGTGTGACGTCACGAAACCTCTTTTAGCCGTAACTCAAGACTTTTCTGTGACTCTGGACAAACAGGAAGTGACCTGAGCCCAGTGTGAGTGGAGGAGGAGCCTCAGATTTTATTCTGAAGTGTCGAGGCCGACGGTCTCACTTCCTGTTGAAATGATCAATTCGCTGTAAAATGGAAACACACATCGAACACAATCAAGGAAGTAATCAGCTTCTCCTCAGCATCTTCCTCTTCCTCACTGCAGCCAAGAAGATGATGAGTCTGGTGAGCGGCCGCGGTGAAGCCGCCGCCTCTTCCTCCTCTTCCTCCTCTTCCTCCCTCAGTCTGAGAGCCAAGAAGAACAAAAGGAAACTCTACAGGCCTGAAATCTCCTCCCCCATGGACATGCCCTCGCACCCGGTGAGTCTGGACGTGACACGTCTACAGAGCAGAGGGCGCAAACCTGGTCCGATTCAGTTATTGATCAGATATTTCCTGATTTAAATCAAAGTTTTATCAGTTTATTTCAGCACAGATCTTACAGTGTGTGGCTGCTTATGTTTAGGCAACTTTTAACATCTGAGAAGTTTCACATGATTTGCCAGAAGGAGGTGGAAGGAGGCTGCAGAGGAAAGGGATCAATGAAAGTATAGATTTGGTATTGGTATGAAATGTCAGGTTTATATTTTCTGTGTGTGTGTCTGAGAGAGAGTGTGTGTGTGTGTGTGTGTGTGCGCGCACTCATGTGACATATCTTTGGAAAGCTAAGATTATTGTGATTCATGTAAACCATTTCAAGACACAATCATACCAGCAGCTGTCAGACCAACAACAAACAAACAAATAATAATTCAGATATCGATGCCGCTCACCAGTGAAGACCTGCAGCGTCTCATCGTCCTCCACCGATCAATAAAAGTCTCTTATTATATTGTCAAAGGTCCAGTTAATCCACAACACATTATTCCATCAACACACACACACACACACACACACACACACACACACACACTGCTGCATCATTTCAAAAATAAAAGCAGTAACAGCAGCTGTAGGTTTTATATATATTTCACTTTTATAAACATAAAAGTTGTAAAGTTCAATCCAACATTTACATCTGAGACTCGTCACATGCGATGAGACGGAAACATTAGTGAGCAGTGACGCAGCTGACACGAGAGTCACATGACAGTAAAGACTGAATGCAGCAGGAGTTCCTGGACCTCAGTGTGGACAAACCAAACCTCCAGGTGGCTCATAGAGAACGAACGGGGTCAAAGTTCAACACATCTGTCTGTAATGTTGGAGGGAGCAGCAGTGTTCAGGAGGAGGAGTTTTTATTTTTGTGAACTGACCCTTTATATAAAAAAGTAGCTTCATTTATTCATGTAATTATTCCATTTTAACAGTGTGAGTGAGTGACTTAATGAGCACATGGATCAGGTCAAGATTAAGTGCTTTGTCTTCTGATTGGTTGTTAAGTGAGTGTGTGTGTGTGTGTGTGTGTGTGTGTCTGTAATTACAGTCCCACAGTTACACACACTCACTCATCTTTAACGTTTGGTTCCTCGTCTCAGATCATCAGCAGAGAGCCGGAGGAGAAGGAGAGCGACCATCAGATCATCAAGAGGCGTCTTCGCTCCAGGACGGCTAAATAATGAACCTTCATATTGTACTGTGCGCCATCTGTTAGCCTGATGTCTTAGCAAATGAAGGGACCAGTCAGCTGCTAACAAGTCCAGCTCAATTTTCCATGTGACAGAGGCGGTAAATTCTCTACATATTATCGTTTTAGAATAGAGCAAAGTCACTGTTAAAGGCGGCAGTTTAATGAAGAGTTCAACATTTTGTGAAGTAAGCTGATTTTCTTTTCTGCCCAGAGTTAGACGGGATGATCAGCATCGCTCTTGTCTGCGTGGAGCTGGAGCCAGGTGGCAGTTAGCTTAGCATAAAGACTGGAAGCGGGGGGAACCGTTAGCCTGACTGTCTCCATAGTTAAAAATACACCTCGCACCACCTTTAAGGCCGACGCTCATCTTCTATTTTTGATGTTTGATCCATAAACAGTGGAACTATTCAACAATCAACAGCTTATCTTCTGGTCTTGATGCTAAGCTAAGCTAACGAGAGTGGCATCCATCTTGTCATCTGTGTCTCTGCAAGGAAAAATCCCCAAAATGTTGAACTTTCCCTTTAAAATACTGTCTTAACTGTTGACTGTAATGTCCATATTTAGCATCACTTCATATATTTTATTTAACGCTGAGCACTCTGAATCTTTCCTTCACACTTTACAGACAGATGCTGATTTCCATTTTTTACTTTATGTGCAATTTGTTGTGGAGGATTCGCGGCTGTGCTGGAGTTTGTTCAGTGTTACTGGTTTGTTCGTTATGAGGAAGTTGCAGCCGTTAAAGTGCAGAGTTGTTTTTCATCTCTGACGTTTTCCTGTTTGTGAGAAGCAACAGAAAACTTTATTTTCATCTTCTCGTGAACCACTAACTCACTGTTTTCCTTAAAGTGATATCAGCAAAGCCACTAATGGAGCGTTGAACAAGTTCAGAAGACAAATATATCTGTAGTTTACTTTGTATTCAGCTGTAGAATATCGACCTTTCACTACACTCAATAAACTCCTTCTGCACTTTATCTCTTTGAGAACAGATTCAAGAACAGGAACAAAAAGTGATCGCACACTAAGAGTAGAGACATGCAGGATAAAATCATCAATGGTTCCACTGTGTATTTTTTTGGACTTGGATGTTGAGCTCGTTATATTCGGTTCCAGATGAAGGATTGAGTGTTTTTCTTTTGTACAGAACATTAAAGTCGTGGTAAAGCTGCCTGAGCTTAAAAAAAAAAAAAAAAATTTTTTTTTGCTCCAATACTGATCTTTATTTTCTGAAATCGTGCACTTTTCTGTCATTATTATCATGTTTATTCTTCTTTTTCATTCCATCGTTCTGAAGGTCACATCAGTCATTTACCGATTAAAAAATACAAAACAGTTGCTGCTTTTCTGTTTCATGTTTTAAAACCAAATATCAAAGAAAACAGACAGAGGAGCCGCTCTTCTGATTGGCTGACTGTTTTCTGACTGATCCAATAAAAATACAGCAGATTTCAGGTAAAAACACTCAGAGAAACCAAATCCTGCAAGGTTTGGATGGTGGGTCCAGGTGGGCGGGGCTTGGTGACTGCTTTGTTGTGACATCACAAAGTTCCAGAAGTCCTGACGGCTGGTTTTAAGGCTCAGTTTCTGAATACAGGCTGTGTGCATTTCTCTGTGGACTGAGGCTTTGATACTTTCACAGTATTAATATAGAAGCTAGAGCTGATCTATAATCACACTACACATGGACACAGACCTTTACACTGGAGGAGCTTTAATCATTTTAATAGCTTTTGGTTGATAGGCTGGTTCTCTGTGGGACTCCATCACTCTGAAAGCCTCTTTTTCGACACTTATTTTTTTACCAAAAATTAGTCAATATATCAATCACCTGTGTCACCTACACAATCACAGACATAACTCTGTATTCAGGCACTTATAAGGAGCCGTTTCATTGTAATTAACACTGTGTAGAGGCGGGAAGAACGAGCTGGAAGCTGCTGCTGACAGCGAGGCTCCCGGGCGGCTCGTACTGGAGGTGGACTGTCGCCGTGTTGCTGAGGTGTTTGGGCACTAATAAAGAAAAGATCTCTCAGTAACAAAGTGTGGAAATGTGTTGAAGGAAACTTCCTAAACCAGGAGTCAGACATGTTGTTGACCAGAGAGGTCACTATCCCAGACTACAGGGTAAAACATTTCCCTCCGGGGGCGACGACCCTCATGGAGCCTGCACTGTGACATGATGAGGCAGGGAAGCTGGGAAACAAATACACCTGCAGGAGCCTGATTGCACCTGTAATTTCCATCTCTAACTTTAAAGTCCTTTCTGAGTTGGTAGTAAACACTAGTTACTGGTGAGTTACTCGATTAAATCCATTTCCTCCTGCGACACATCCACAGTGTTCCAAGTGGCAGAAATAGTCGTGTGAAGAATGAACTCACCTCCTCACAGCTGGCCAATCACGGCGTGAAGTGGGCGTGAATGACGGATCGTTGGCTGGTGTCGGAAAAAAAATCACAGAAATGGTTGGAAAACATTGATCGCTGGTGTGTGTTTTGGGAGGAGGCGGCAGAGGAAGCGAGTGGGTTTGAAGAGGCGTGAGCCGGCTCCACACACCAGCTGTAACTCCATTAGATCTGCAGGTGCATGTTTGTGAAGGCGCTGACTGCTGCTTCCGTCTGTGAGCTGAATGGCGGTTGAGTGTCTGGTGTGTGGTGCAGGACGGGGCGGAGCCGGGGGCGTCCACAGGGGAACTCGGAGGGGCTGGGTGGGATGAGTGGTTCCTCTGTGTTGGGCTTTTGCATGTTGTTACCTACCTGCAGTGTTTGATCATGGAGGTGTGTCTGGTACCTCAGCTGCTCCGGCCCACGTCTGACACGTCACTTTGTCATGGGGAGGTGACGAAAGGACTGAGTGTGTCCTGTCAGAATCCCGTTGTGTGAAACCACGCTGCCGCAGCTGCAAGATGCTGGAAACCTTTGTTTGAGATTACACTTTATTTCTTTCTTCCAAATGATGTTTCCCTGAAATGAATCTTAATACATGTGTGTATCTGACCTGAAATATTGTGAGTAAAGCAAATTCTTTTCATTTAGAACCAGATGTCGTTATATTAGTTTTATCCTGTGTTTCATTATGTTTTCTGTTCACAGCCTTGGATGCATTAATAATGTGAGACGTCTTATCTACCTTTTCTTTATTGTTTTTGTTGTGGTATACGTGGCAATGTATTTACTTTTGTTTGTTGTACAGGAATGAAACACCCCTCCGTTCCTTCATGAACTTCTTCAACGCAATTAATGGTTAAACGTCTCCAGGTACGTTCACGAGTGCAGTCTCTTTACAGTCTCTTCAGTCCTTTTACACGTGGTATCTTTAGTTGTGTGTAAAGTTAATATTTGACGTGAAGGTCGCTCTGAAGGAAAAGCAGGTTCTGTACGAATGTCGACAGCAACACTTCACAGTCTCTTCATTCACAAGCTTCTTAAAGTTTGTGTGCAAGTTGAAATTTTTACCTGATGATTGAATCAGAGAAAACATCATGGACTGAGTAACATCACTGTACCCAACGCTGCAAAGGTTTTCTTTTTGTTTAAAAAATGAGTGAATTGTTTGAACGTTTCCACAGACACCAGCTGTGGATGTGAATCCACCTGCTGCTGAGTAAACTGCCTCGAGCTCGTCGTGGCTTTTTCTAGCTGATGAATTACAGGAACAACACGAAGCGATGTTCAGCCTGTTTCCTCTGAATCAGAACTTTCTCTTCCCTCGTCACCTCGGCTCCGTCTCTCAGTGAACTCAGAGCATCTGAGAATAAATCCCTCCCTTTGTTCCAGCTGTTATTTCTTTTATTTTCTGGCTTTTAGTTTGTTTCTTTCAGGAAACTGTACAGTTCCTTTAGTGTAGGAGGTGATTTTCACTACTGTCTGAACATGTGAAGGTGTCACATGTTCAGCGTGGACACCGTGACTCGGGGGGGGGGGGGGGGGGGGGGTGCTGCTGCTGCTGCTGACGTCAGAGATGTTCAGACCATTTGTCCAAACACTGACGGAGTCACTAACTCACACAGTGACGGGGGCAGATCGTCAGCAGGTTCAGCAGCTGCCTTTTTCTATTGGTCCATCGCACAGCCGCTGCAGCGCCTCCTAGTGGCAACAGCATCATTTTTATGTGAGAGGCTCAGGGCCTCCTCTCTTCTGATTGGCTCACCGACCTGTTGTTACTAGAGCTGCAGAGAGAAGCCTGAGAGAGGAGATGTAAAACTACACTGAGATGGTTTTTATATCTTCTGATGGATCAACACTTCAAATAAAACACAGAAGAAGAAAATATGGAGCTTTAAAATTTTAGGTCGTTCTCATAATTTTTCTGACAAGTTTGGTTTTAATTGGTTATTTAATGCTACAAAACGACAGTGTGACGTTATGATCAGCTGTGATTGATTCAGTATTGGGTCGAACAGGTGTATGGGCGGGACCGAGATACTGTGTCTCCACCCCCTGATCACTGGCGCAGATTCTGGCTCCAAACGGAGACGCGTCGTCCGTCTTTATTCACTGGTCAATCACAACAATCAAGATCATTTACTTTGAATTCATGTGGTAAACTGTCAGTTAGATTCCCATCGTATAAACTTAGTCATCACTTAACGAAGGGTGAGAGTTCAGCGTGGAAGCAAGAGGAGTCTTGCTCATGCACACAAGTGTTTGTGTGTGTGTCTTTCATATCCACTGCTGCTGACGTCAGAGATGTTCAGACCATTTGTCCAAACACTGGCAGTGTTACTAACTCACACTGTGAGCTGCTACGGGGGCAGATTGTCTGTGACAGTGTTTTGAAAGGACCAGCGCTGTCAGGCTTTTATTTGATGGAGTGGAGCACTTTTCAGAAAAGCCACAGGTTCACACAGCAGGGTCCAAAACTGATCCCAATTTCATTTTATGTCTCCGTCTTCAAGCTTCTTCCCTTTTTAAAAAGAGGATGGAGGAATCAGTAGAAAAGTAGTTGTTGTGATTTAATAACAAACTATAATATCTTTGTTTCTT